AGCTGGTTTAAAGCCTCTAGGTTTGGGCCTCCCCGGTGGCGCAGCTGTTGAGCGCTGGGTTGCGAGGCTGCCCGCGGCCTCTGCGGTGCCGGTTCTATTCCCGGCTGCTCCCCGGCCACCGGAGGAGGGTCCCACATGGTGCGCAGACCTCTCCTGTTGTGCCCACTGCTCCCCTCAGCAGTGTGCTTCGGTCCTTCTGCCTGCTCTGCTCCCCGCTCTCGCTCTGGTGAATTCTCTCACCCTCCCGCGCTTCTGACTGTACCCAGTGCATGTCTAAACAAATAAATAAATAAATAAACATGCCTCTAGAAAAAATTAAAAAAAAAAAAATAAAGCCTCTAGGTTTAGCTAAAAGCTCATTATCAGTCCTTTCATTAGTGTTTCTTTTCTTTTTTTGAGAGAGAGTTTGATCCCAGCCTCGCTATACCACCGTGTTGTTCCCAACAACTGTTTTCTAATGGGGGTGATTAAAATGTGTACATTTAATGTGATTATTAATATGGTTGGACTTAAATCTAATCTCTTGAATTTCTTTCACTCATTCAAATAAACTGAAAATATTTACAGATAGATTTAGAGGGAAATTGTAAAATAAGTAATATTTATTCAGTGTAAGGTATAGAAACTGATGATTCAAACAGTTGCAATTTTATGAGCCATGTGAGGGGCTACCTGTTGCATAAATTTATCCTTTAGTAAAGTCTGGCCCTCATAGAACTCTGGGTCTGCATTTGTATATTTACACAATGCCTCTTTGAATAGATCCAAGAAGACCGTGGGACTCTCAACCCAAAAGCAGATTAGTAGATAACAATAGACAGAAAAAAAATAGATAAGTAACCAGTGAATAAAATTTAAATCAAGATATAAATTCTCGGGGCCTCCCTGGTGGCGCAAGGGGTTAAGCACCACACTATGAAGCAATCCGCAGCCTCTGCAGCACAAGTTCGATCCCTGGCCGGCCAGAGAGCAACCCACATGGGCAGCAGATCTCTCCTGTCTTGCCTACTGTTCCCCTCAGCAGTGTATTTCAGTCAGTTTGCCTGTTCTGTTCCCCACTCTGTCTCCGGTGAATTCTCTTACCACTCTCACCTCTGGCCTGTACCCCAGCTCTTATATGCATAAATAGATAAATCTTTAAAAAAAAGATATAAATTCTCTGTCAACTGCTTCAATTCATTAAATATTTTTATTGATTTACCATTGGTTTATTATCCCATCTCCTATTTCTCTGTTTCACTGACTTGTTTGAATTTGTGTATTTTTTACTCCATTTTATTTCTGTTGGCTAATTAGCTTTACGTTTTTGTCTTTTCAGTGCCTGCTCTAGAAATTACAGTGTGTTTTTAATGTATTAGTCACCTTCACATAATAATATATGAGCAAAATAATGGTATACTTTTATTTCTCCCCTACATGCTATTGTTTTAATGTATTTTACTTCCATATATATTATTTTTTTTACAATATAATAGCTTTAACAATTATCTTTATTTTATTATTTTTTCAATCATCCTTTATTTAATTTTTGCACAGATGAACTGGAATGTAGGCTAGAGGTACAGGGGTTGAGAGGATTCACCAGAGACAGAGTGGGGAGCAGCACAGGCAGATTTACTGAAATGCTGAGGGGAGCCACAGTCAAGACAGGAGAGGTATGCTGCGCCATATATGGGTTAGTTCCATGGCTGGGGATAGATCTCAGGCTGTAGTGCTGATAGCACTGAGACTTAACCCGTAGGCCACCAGGGAGGCCCGCTTTAATAATAATCTTTAAATGCATTTTAAAAAGAGAAAATAATGTCTCAACTTGCCCACTCAGTCTCTTCCCTGAAACCCATATTTCTATGAATAGGACCAAGTTTCCTTCTGTTATCATTTTCCTTTTAACTGCAGAATTTTTTTTTTTTTTTTTTTAAAGATTTATTTATTTATTTATACAAGCACTGGGTACAGTCAGAAGCGCAGGAGGGTGAGAGAATTCACCAGAGCCAGAGTGGGGAGCAGAGCAGAGCAGGCAGAAGGACCGAAGCACACTGCTGAGGGGAGCAGTGGGCACAACAGGAGAGGTCTGGGCGCCATGTGGGACCCTCCTCCGGTGGCCGGGGAGCAGCCGGGAATCGAACCGGCGCTGCAGAGGCTGCAGACAGCTTCCCAAGCCAGCGCTCAGCCGCCGCGCCACCAGGGGAGGCCCTAACTGCAGAATTCTTTTAACATTTCTTGTGGTGCAAGTCTGCTGGCAATTAACTGCATACATTTTGTGTGAAACAATTTGTACTTTTTCTTACTTTAGAGTCCTTTTCCTTCATGGGTCTATCGGCACAGTGACCTTAGACAATATCATTAAAATTTCTACTTGCTGTCTTTCTGTGACTAATCTTCTCTTCCTGGACTCATCTCCAAATCATGTAGGAAAACAAATGAAATGAAATGTTCTGCTTTATTTCCATGATTCTGTAGCACAAAAAATGAGCCCAAAATGGTTGATTGGTCCTCATTTTCCCATTGATCTACTCATATTTATAGTTCTTTTTTACCCATGTTAATCATTGTAGGTAGCTCTTTAGATTTCCTCCCTCAGTTCTTCAGGTAGATGACACTCATTAGTTTATAGTGTATTTATGTCTGAGTTTAAGGACATCTGGCAAAGAGTTTTTAGAGAATATACATGAGGTAGCTCTTTAGTCTTAATATTGATGAAATTTAAAAACACTAACCTTTTATTTGGGAATAATATTAGAGAAATGATGCAAAGATAATATAGAGGATTCCTATACCCTCACAGCAGGCTTCCCTTAATACTAACATCTCACATTACCATGTTACATTTGTCAAAATTAAGGCATTAATTAAGACTTGGTACATTACTGTCACTTCCAACTTTATTTGGATTTGACCAGTGTTTGTAAAATACTCTTTTGTTGGTTCAAGAATTCATAGGGGGGCCTCCCCGGTGGCGCAGCGGTTGAGCACTGGGTTGTGAAGCTGCCAGCAATCTCTGCAGTGCCAGTTCGATCCCTGGCTGCTCCCCGGCAGGCCACCGGAGGAGGGTCCCACATGGCGCGCAGACCTCTCCTGCCGCCCGCTGCTCCCCTCAGCAGTGTACTTCCATCCTTCTGCCTGCTCCGCTCCCTGCTCTGGCTCTGGTGAATTCTCTCACCCTCTTGCGCTTCTGACTGTACCCAGTGCTTGTATAAATAAAAAAAATAATAAAATAATCTACAAAGAGCTAATGAGACGCAACAAAAACAAAGAAAATAATCCAGTCCAAAAATGGGCAGAAGAGCTAAAAATAAACTTCTCTGAAGAGGAAATGCAAATGGCCAACAGGCATATGAAAAAATGTTCAACATCACTTGTCATCAGGGAAATGCAAATCAAAACTACAATGAGGTACCATCTTACACCAGTGAGAATGGCACATATTAAAAAAACTAGCAACAACAAATGTTGGTGAGGTTGTGGAGAAAAAGGAACTCTTCTGCACTGTTGGTGGGAGTGCAAACTGATCCAACCACTATGGAGAGCTGTGTGGAGATTTCTGGACCAACTAAAGGTAGAGCTTCCATATGATCCAGCAATTCCACTCGTAGGTATTTACCCAAAGGACACAGAAACATCAATTCCAAAGAGCACCTGCACCCCTATGTTTATAGCAGCACTGTTTACAATAGCTAAGCTTTGGAAACAGCCCAAATGCCCAAAAATAGATGACTGGATCAAGAAGATGTGGTACATATACGCCATGGAATATTACTCAGCATTCAAAAAAAGATAACCACATGCAATTTGCAGCAACATGGATGGCGCTGGAAGGGATCATGCTCAGCGAAATAAGCCAGAAAGAAAAAAGAAAAATACCGGATGGTCTCACTCATAGCAGGAATCTAGAAAACTTAAATAAGGGACCAGGAAAAAGAATAACTATAAGAAAGAAATAATCAAATTGACAAAGAACTATGAACCAGAGACACTCTATGGTGGGAGGGGGGAGGGGAAAGGAGGGCATAGGGCCAAATTAAGGGGGTTGTAATTGTATGGGGAATATAAAAAATAAAATTTAAATTAAGAAGAAAAGCAATACTCAAAATATTTCACAGTATGAAAAACTGGATATAGCTTAGCTTCCAATTATACAAGAATGATCAAATAAAACTTACTTTTATATCAATTTGAAGAATTATAGAATTCTTTAAATTTGTAAAGAATATATAGTAAAATGGAAAATACTCAGTATATTGCTATGTGAAATAAGTAGGATATAAAACTGCATAATACTTTATCATAATTTTGAAAATATAAATAAAATAGTAAGGGAAAATAAAGCTATGTGAATAAGATAAATAAAAGTTCTTTAAAATAAAACAAAAAATAAATAAAATCTTTTAAAAAAAATATATATATATAAAAGAATTCATAGGGGGAGTTTTCTTCAGTACTTTTTGATTCTTTAGGTTCATTTTAGTTGGTTTCATGAATATTAAATATGCATTAATTCCACCAAATTTACTGGTTAGCCACACTATAAACCATTTACATTTCCATTGTTGAGAGTTACCATATAAATGTCTTGTTTGATAGTCACAAGACAGTGAATATCACTAGAAGTAGTACCTCTGTACTAAATGTTTGCCATTAAAACTCTTTTTAAAAACCAAATACAGGGCTTCCCCGGTGGCGCAGCGGTTGAGCGCTGGGTTGAGAAGCTGCCCGCGGCCTCTGCAGCGCCGGTTCGATCCCCGGCTGCTCCCCGGCCATCGGAGGAGGGTCCCACATGGTGCGCAGACCTCTCCTGCCCCGCTGCTCCCCTCAGCAGTGTGCTTCAGTCCTTCTGCCTGCTCTGCTCCCCGCTCTGGCTCTGGTGAATTCTCTCACCCTCCCGCGATTCTGACTGTACCCAGTGCTTGTATAAATAAATAAAAATAAATCTTTAAAAAAAAAAAAAAAACAAATACAAATGCTTAATTGAATACAATTATTCTTGTATCTTTTGTGTTTAGTTGTCTGTTTCTCCAAAATATGAAGTCCTCTCCAGAAGTGATTCCAGACCTTCAGAGTGATGGGGAACTTTCTGAAGTAACGGTAATGAAAAACAACACTTTGGGTCCTCCCCTTGTGGCGCAGGCGGTTGAGCGCAGCACTGTGACACTGTCTCTGCAGCGCAGTGGCAGGCCTCTCCTGTCTCGCCCACTGCTCCCCTCAGCAGTGTATTTCATCAGTCTGCCTGTTCTTTTCCCTGCTCTGTCTCTGGTGAATACTGTCATCCTCCTGCGCAACTGGCCTGTACCCGGTTCTTGTATGCATGAATAAATAAATCATAAAAAAAAAAAAGAAAAGAAAAGATGGCCAATATATTTAAAAAAAAAAAAAAGCAACACTTAAATTTAGCATTATATGATCATGTGATTAAAAGCTGTTTTTGAACAGGATTTACACATCATAAATGAGTAATCAGACAAGTAGGTCTACACATACCTATTAAGTACCTGTCATGTGTTAGGTTCAGATAGGAATGCTATAATAAGCAAGAGAGAATACCTAGTTTCCCGAAGCATAGAGTAAATCCCTGTTACTGTGAGGCCCAGGCTCTTCGAGACTTAGAGTTGATTAGCATCCAGGTTACCTGGATTCCTCTGTGATCCACATTTGTAGGACATTTGGAGCCTTTCTCAGGCCTATGAAGGTGTATTTCTTTTACAGAGAAAACATCCAAATCAGCCTCTTAAAACTGAGAAATCCTATGTACTTCTATGGGATACATGCCACTCTCAGTTTAACACTTACCCACGCTACCGTAGGCTGTATATTAAGTATATTGTTTGCCATCCCATAAAGAGAAAACAAAGTACCCTGCCATTCACTTGATTCATTTTTTATATTGTGAACCGAAACATGAAATTGAAGAACAAAAGTTTAGAGATATAGAAATAACTTTTTTTTTAAAGATTTATTTATTTATCTATACAAGAGCTGAGGTGCAGGCCAGAGGTGTGGGAGGTGAGAGGATTCACCAGAGACAGAGTGGGGAGCAGAACAGGCAGATTAACTGAAGTACACTGCTGCGGGGAGCAGCGGGCAAGACAGGAAATTGTCTGCTGCACCATGTGGTTTGCTCCCTGGCTGGCCGGGGATTGAACTCATGCTGCAGAAGCTGCGGACAGCTTCATAGGCTGCGTCTTAACCCCTTGTGTCAACAGGGAGGCCCTGAAATAACTTATTTTTTAAGGAAGCAACATGACCTTTTCATATCCCAGTATATAAAATTAAAAGTGTCATTAATAACATGGCTCAGAAGCTGTACCTAATGATATTTGCGCCATGATGCCACAGCTTCTTATACAAATTTTGATTTAATAAAGGATTTTATTTTTAAAGGATATCACAAGTGAAAGCTGTCTTGAAGATTCAGCAGCTGATAGTTCTATAGTACCAGGTAAGGATCTTGATGACACACAAGGGATTATATAGGTGTGCACATGTACCTATATGTAGGGCATTTTACAAAATAGTATTGGTGACTATGCCTCCTTTCTTCTCTCCAGAGACGGTCCAGGTTGAAACCCAGTGGTTTGAGGAGGCAAAGCATCTGAGTGAGCGCCTGAGAAAAGCGTACACCAGGGCCAGTTTCTACCACACTTCTTTGCTTAATGGCTTTTCTTCTCTCTCCACTAATGAGTTGCTGGGTTGTGATCTGTCCCTTGCTTCAAGACACATCGCCAGTCCTGTGCAAGGACCTGTGGTGCTACCTGAGGTCTTTGCCAGCTTGAACACTGTCATGTGTGTGGAGGGTGAAGCAGGCAGTGGAAAGACGGTCCTTCTGAAGAAAATAGCTCTTCTATGGGCAACAGGATGCTGTCCCTTGTTAAATAGGTTCCAGCTGGTCTTCTATCTCTCCCTTAGCTCTACCAGACGGGAGCAGGGGCTGGCTGACATCATTTGTGACCAGCTCCTAGGGATGGATGGATCTGTTGCTGAAATATGCCTGAGGAACATAATTCAGCAGTTAAAGAATCAGGTGTTATTCCTTCTGGATGAGTACAAAGAAATGTGCTCAATCCCACAAGTCATAGAAAAACTGATTCAAAAAAACCACTTTTCAAAAACCTGCTTATTAATTGCCATCCATACAAACAGGGGAAGGGACATCTGCCGATACCTAGATACCATTCTAGAGATCAAAGTGTTTCCCTTTTATAATACAGTCTCTATATTACGGAAGCTCTTTCCTCATAATGTAACCCATCTGCGAAAGTTTATGATTCACTTTAGGATGAAAGTAAGTGTGATGGACTATTTCAGAACCCCACTCTTGGTGGCAGTACTCTGTACTGTGTTTGAGTATTCTTCTCACGAGACCTTTAATGAGCTGGTGTTCAAGTCCTACATGGAATGCCTTTCCTTCAAGCACAAAAGGACAATTGACTTCAAAGAAAACGTGTCCTCCTGTGGTGAGCTGGCCTTGAAAGGGTTTATGGCAGCTTGTTTTGCATTTAATGAGGATGACCTTAATGAAGCAGGAATTGATGAAGATCGAGCCATGTACCTGATGAGCAAATTCACAGCCCAAAGGCTGAGACCTGTCTATCAGTTTTTAAATCGTGCATTTCAAGAATTTCTTGCTGGAATGCGGCTGGTTGAACTCCTTGATTCTGATAGGCAAGAAGATCAAGATTTGGGACTTTATTATTTGAAACAAATCAACTCATCCATAATGATTAAAAGTTATGATAACAAATTTTTGGATTATGTCTCCTGCTTCTCTTCAACAAAGGCAGCACCAAAAATTGTATCTCATTTGCTTCTTATGTTGGATAATACAGAGTCATTGGAGAATATATCTGAAAATGATGAATACCTGAGGCAGCATCAGGAAATTTCAGACATGATGTCTGTTACTAGGCTATTGTTTCAATTATGCCCACAAAGTTACTTTTCACTTGCTTCAGAACATATACTGGCTGTTGCCATAAAAATTGCTTATCAAAGCAACACTGTTGCTGCATGTTCTCCATTTATTTTGCAATTCCTTCAAGGGAAAACCCTCACTTTGAATCAACTTAAGTTACAGTATTTTTATGACCACCCAGAAAGCCTATTATTGTTGAAGAGTATCAAGGTCTCCATAACAGGAAATAGAAGGGCATACATACCAGATCTTTCAATCCTGGAAACATGTATGGACAAATCACAGGCACCAACTACAGATGAAGACTATGCTTCTTCCTTTGAAGCTTTGAATAAATTGATGCAGAATATAGCTGAAGAGAAAGACATGGTTGAACTTCTGGATATGCATTGCAGTGCACCACTAGACATCTACAATGGCTATTGGAAACTTTCTCCAAAGCAGTACAAGATTCCCCTTCTAGAAGTTCATGTGACTGGCACTAATGCTGTGGACCAGGAGATGCTGGAGAGTTTAATGGAAGTTTTCTCAGCCTCACAGCACATTGAACTCTATTTAAAGGAAAGCAAGGGCATTATTGAAAGCATTCGCCCAGCTCTTGGACAGTTTAAGGACTCTTTCACCAAGTGCTCCTTATACAAATATGAGCTGAGTACAGTAGATCAGGAATTGCTTCTCACCCTGCATTCTCTGGAATCTCTGGAAATTTCAGAGACAACCCTGATACAAGGTATATCTGGATATATTTTAGAGGACTACTCTTGTATAATTTAATTTCCCCTGAGTTCTAGGTGGATGAAAACATCTTAAGAGATGAGATCATAAATGTTTGTTAGTAGACTAATATAATATAAAGTCATTTGTCAGTAGTATGAATTAGTGAAAGACCTCTAGGTGGTTTTCAGACACTGAGATAAAATTTTAACTGTAAACACTTTTAATAAAGACACAAATTACAGATTTAGTAAAAGGTGACACTTGAGCACCACTCTCACCCTACCTGCTTAATGGAAGAAATAGAACTGCCATTTATGTCTTCTTACACTTGTATAAGCAGTGCTTTTTCATTAGATTTATTCTTGGATGCTTAGTGTCTCTGGATACTTTCATAAATGATACATGGTTTTTCATTTATTGTTGTGTTTTTTTATTGAGGTGACTTGGTATGCTCCACTGTGTTTTAGGAGCATATAACACACCTTAGATATTTGACCACACAATACCCATCACAGTGCACCAATAATCCTTCTGCATCCAACATGGCTAATCCTTCACACAGTCCACTGGTGCTCCTTTCCCTCTGATAACCTCAGTTCTGCAGTCCAATTTCTAGCATTTATTTTGTCTGTTACTTAGCTTTGTTTTATTTTCTGTTTGTTGTTAATGTGATTTCCAGTAGTTTATTGTAAGTCTAGTTTTGCTTGTATGTGTCTTGCTTGAGGATCACTTAACATTTTTTTAATTTGTGGGTTGATGTTTATCAAATTTAGAGGAAATTAGCTCATTTTATCAAATGTTTTTATTATGGTAAAACATTCATACAACTTACCATTTTAACCATTTAAAGTGTATAATTCAGTGGCATTAAGTATATTCACAATATTGTACATCCATCACCATTCATTCATTCATTTACAGAATCTTTTCAGCATCCCCAACTCTGTTCCTGTTAGACAGTACTCCCCTCTCTAGCTGCTAACATTTGTTCTAATATCTGTTGCCATGAATTTACCTAGTTATCCAATATGTTAGTCATTTTGTGTCTGGCTTTCATTTCATTTGGCGTGTTTCATTAGGTTCATCTATATTGGAACATGTGTCAGGACTTCATGCCTTTTATAGCTGAATAATATTCCATTGTATGCATGTAGCATTTTATCCATTCACCTGCTGTTGGACACTTGCGTTGTTTCAGCCTTCTGGTCACTGTCAGGTTGCTATGAACATGCGGGCACAAACATCTCTTTGGGACCCTGTTTTCTTGTTGGGGGAAAGAATAAATAACCAAAAGTGGAATTGCAGGTTTGTATCAAGAGCAATCCAGTCTTTTTAAAAAGATTTATTTATATGTATTTATGCATATAAGAACTGAGGTGTAGGTCAGAGGTGGGGAGGGGGTGGCGAGAAGATTCACCAGAGAAAGAGTGGTGAGAAGAAGAGGCAGTCTACTGAGAAACACTAATGAGGGGAGCAGTGAGCCAGACAGGAGAGTTCTGCCTGTCTGACATGAGATCGAACTCATGTCACAGTGGCTGGTGATATCTTGATAGCACTGAGACTTTACCCCTTTTGCCACAGGGAGACCCACAATTCTAATTTTTGAGGAACCGCCAAACTGTTTCCACATTGTACCATTTTACATTCTTACCAGCAATACACAAGGACTCCAATTCCATATATCCTCATCAACAGTTGTTTTTTAATCATTTAATCCCATAGTCATCCTAGTAGTTTGAAGTCATTTTGATTTGCATTTCCCTGATGACTAATGATGTTGAGTATCTTTTTCATGTTTATTGGCTTTTGTCTTTTTGGAAACATGTCTATTAAGTCCTTTTTGCAATTTTTAATTGGTTTTTGTTGTTAAATAGCAAGTGCTAAAGCGTTCTTTGTATATTCTGGATACTAAATCCTTACTGGACACATGGTTTAAAAATATTTTCTTCTAGGGCCTCCCCGGTGGCGCAGCGGTTGAGCGCTGGGTTGCGAAGCTGCCCGCAGCCTCTGCAGCGCCAGTTCAATCCCCGGCTGCTCCCCGGCCACCAGAGGCGGGTCCCACATGGCGCGCAGACCTCTCCTGCCACCCGCTGCTCCCCTCAGCAGTGTGCTTCGGTCCTTCTGCCTGCTCTGCTCCCCACTCTGGCTCTGGTGAATTCTCTCACCCTTCCGCGCCTCTGACTGTACACAGTGCTTGTATAAATAAATAAATAAATCTTTAAAAAAATAATAATAAAAATAAAAATATTTTCTTCTATATCATAGATTGTCTTTTAATTTTCTGAATATACCCTTTAATGCACCTGAGTTTTATATTTTCACCTAAGTCTGATTTATCTGTATTTTTTCTTTTTTTGCAGTTGCATTGGTAGCATATCTAAGAATTCACTTTCAAATCCACTCATGAAGTTTTATCCCTATGTTTCTGTCAAGAGTTGTATGGTTTTTAGCTGTTATATTTAGGTTGTTGATTCATTTTTAGTTAGGGAAGTAGGGGGTCCACCTTTATTCTTTTGCATGTTGAAATCCAGTTGTCTCAGCACTACTCATCGAGGAGATATTTTTGTTAATCCAGAGAGTAACAAGAGGTCTTCCTGTATAGTAACCAGTTAATACGGCAAAAAGCAGTATCAGGTTTTTCATTTGGAACTCTTTAGTTTAATGGATACTGTGTATTGCTTTCTAGATCAACTCTTTTCTAATCTGGACAAGTTTCCGTGCCTGAAAGAATTGTTTGTGAACCTGGATAAAAAAGATAATGTTTTTAGAGCTATTCCTGAAGAACTGAATTTCCAACATATGAAGAAATTATTGATCCACAGTTCAGCTGAGTATGGGCTTTCCAAGCTAGGTAAGGATGACATTTTGACTTTGTATCATTTGGAAAAGCTTTGTGGATCTGAGTAAGGTGTAGCCTGCATCCATGGTAAACTGTGGGAATGGCACTCTTTCTCATTAAGCAAGAAAAAAAAAAAAAAATATATATATATATATAATTTTTTTTTTTTTTAAGATTTATTTATTGGGGCCTCCCTGATGGCGCAAGGGGTTAAATGTTAGCACTGTGAGGCAATTCGCAGCTACTGCAGCACAACTTCGATCCCTGGCCAGGGAGCAATCCACATGGCACAATAGACCTCTCCTGACTCGCCCGCTGCTCCCCTCAGCAGTATACTTTGGTCAGTCTGCCCGTTCTGCTCCCCACTCTGTCTCTGGTGAATCCTTTCACCCTCCCCACACACACACTTTTGGCCTGTACCCCAGCTCTTGTATGCATAAATAAATCTTTTAAAAAAAAAAAAGAGCTGGGGTATAGGCCAGAGGTGCGGGGAGTGAGAGGATTTACCAGAGACAGAATGGGGAGCAGAACAGCAGAAATACACTGCTGAGGGGAGCAATGGGTAAAACAAGAGAGGTCTGCTGCACTATGTGGGTTAGTTCCCTGTGGGGGATCGAACTCATGCTGCAGTGGCTCGCTATAGCTTGATAGTACTGACGTAACCCCTTGTGCTACCAGGGAGGCCCAAAGAATAATGTGTAATTTTTTGAGCCCATACTATATGCTTAGGAATTGTTCTAAGCATTTCTCATTTAACCTTCACACTATGAGGCAAGGTACTATTATTCTCCTTTTAGAGGGGAAAAATTGAGGATTATATAGAGAGGTAATAAATAATTTGCACATAGTTACCCAGCTAAGGAAGTGGTAGATCTGGAATTCAGAGAAGTAAGCTTTGAACCACAGGTATACTGCCTGTTCAAAATAGTTTGTAGAGGGCCTCCCCGGTGGCGCAGCGATTGAGTGCTGGGTTGCGAAGCTGTCCGCAGCCTCTGCAGCGCTGGTTCGGTCCCCAGCTGCTCCCCAGCCACTGGAGGAGGATCCCACATGGTGCGCCGCCTGCTGCTCCCCTCAACAGTGTACTTCAGTCCTTCTGCCTGCTGTGCTTCCCGCTCTGGCTCTGGTGAATTCTCTCACCCTCCTGCGCTTCTGACTGAACCCAGTGCTTGTATAAATATAAACAAATAGGGGCCTCCCCAGTGGCGCAGCGGTTGAGCGCTGGGTTGCGAAGCTGACTGCAGCCTCTGCAGCCGGTTCGATCCCCGGCTGCTCCCCGGCCACCGGAGGAGGGTCCCACATGGCGCGCAGACCTCTCCTGCCGCCCGCTGCTCCCCTCAGCAGTGTACTTCGGTCCTTCTGCCTGTTCTGCTCCCCGCTCTGGCTCTGGTGAATTCTCTCACCCTCCCATGCTTCTGACTGTACCCAGTGCATGTATAAACCAAACAAACAAACAAATAATAAATAAATAAATAAATAAGACATGCCTCTAGAAAATTAAATAAATAAATAAATAAATAAATAAATATAAACAAATAAATAAATAAATATTTTGTAGAGTTCTTTTATCTTGTATTTTTTTTAAACAGCATACATTGCAACTTAGAAATGTACCAGATCAGGGGAAAGAAATTTGTGGGTTGTTATCCATCAGAAGTATTTGTTGATTTCTCACTAACCTGCCCTCACGGTTGACAAGACAACTTGTAGCAACCATCTTTCTCAGTATATCATTTAAATGACTTAAGTGTCATCAGTCCCCTAGTTTAGTAGCTACTGAACACTGGAGGCCGAGGAAATGTAAATCTCTATGGATTTGATAAGGCAGAGTTCTGTGCAAAAAAATTTATTGAAGTTGGATATGATACCTTTTTTACATTTGTCTGCAATTTGGGCATCAATTTTAGTTTTTGCTTCGGAGTTGTTACTGACTTTACGTTTCTTTGTATAGTATTCATTCGTGTAAATGTCATGTGCAAACATAGGATGTTAAAGTTGAAGTGATCTACTACATCAATGCCCTTATTTTTATAGAAAACTGATCCCCAGGCAGGGTTCTGTTCATGTCCAAGTTCACAAGAGCTCACTAGTTAGTTGCAGAACCTGAACTGAAATCCTGATTCTTGGATCATTATTTTGGTGCTTTGTTTTAATACAGTATTGTTGAGGCAGAATGATAAATTATATGGCTAATTCTGATAGAAATTTAGTCTCAAATTTCTGACATATTTGGTATTTTACAGTCAAATTAATTCAGAATTCTCCAAATCTTCACGTGTTACACCTGCAATGTAAAATCTTTTCGGATTTTGAGTCTCTCATGACTGCACTTGCCTCCTGCAAGAAACTCCAAGAAATTAAGCTTTTTGGGCCATATTTTAAACCTGCTCCTTTTGGTAAGAGCCGTACTTGTAGTGTTTTGGTTTAATGTGTTTCTGTGGACATGCATTCATTTTAATCACTTTTAAAAAACAAATTTTTAAAATGCAATTGATGTTAAAGAACAAAACTGTGGTAATCAGTATCTGACCATAAAGGAGGTATATTTGTTTCCAAAATTAAAATTTCATAGTCAGATTTCCTGAAAAAAAGTTTATTTATGGGCCTCCCTGGTGGTGCAAGGGGTTAAGCACCGTACTAGGAAGCAATTCACAGCCTCTGCAGCACGAGTTCGATCCCCGGCTGGCCAGGGAGAAACCCACATGGTGAGGCAGACCTCTCCTGTCTCACCCACTGCTCCCCTCAGCATTGTATTTCGGTCAGTCTGCCTGGTCTGTTCCCCACTCTGTCTCTGGTGGATCTTCTCACCCCCTGCATCTCTGGCCTGTACCCCAGCTCTTGTATGCATAAATAAATCTTTTAAAAAAAGTTTATTTAGTCGGGGCCTCCCTGGTGGTGCAAGGGGTTAAGTCACAGTACTCTGAAGCTTTCCACAGCCACTGCAGCACGAGTTCAATCCCTGGCCAGGGAGCTAACCCACATGGCAGAGCAGACCTCTCCTGTCTTGCCTGCTGCTCCCCTCAGCAGTGTATTTCAGTCAGTCTGCCTGATCTGTTTCCCACTCTGTCTCTGGTGAATCTTCTCATCCCCCCACACTCACACCTCTGGCCTGTACCCCAGTTCTTGTATGCATAAATAAACAAATCTTTTAAAAATGTTTATTTAGTCAAACTAGTTACTTCAATCTGAGTTATTAATTTCTATTACTTTAGAAATAAATACTCTTTGAACACATTACTTTTTGGTATCAGATGTGGCTGACAAATTAAAACAAATTTTAATTTTTTTCTTTTATAGTCATTTCTTTGCCAAATTTCACTTCTCTGAAGATACTAAACCTTGGAAGCCAAATAATAACTGATAAGGAAGCATCAGAAAAATTTGGTATGTTTACAAAATAGTGCCTTTTACTTACTCTCTATTCTTTCCCCTTAATCCTCCAATCCTTATCTTGTATTAGCGTGTGTGTGTGTGTGTGTGTGTGTGTGTGTGTGTGTCACAAAAGAAATCATTCTATAACCCGCACTCCAAGTTCTTCTGACTGGAGAGGTAATTGAAACAGCATCACATGGGTTAGCGAGAAAAACAATCAACTTAATATGTTCAGAGTGAATTTAAATGGTTGTAAACTCTACAGAATCGAGCAGACCAGCAATATTTATCATGCATTTTGTGATCTAGAGCATAAAGGACACAGTAGAGAAAGATTCACATGACAGAAAAGAAGGGAGTGAACTCATCCTTACTCTGAGAATAAAGATGAATTCTTAGATTGAGAAAACATCTGCTAGGTAAACCTACAACTGGATGAGAGTGCAACTTCTAAGTCATAGAAGGGAGATTGGTGATTGCTTTTTTGATTAGGAAAAGGGTAGAAGTTCAGAGCATACCGATTTCTTCTTAAGGTAAAGGACTTGGAAAAGAACAGACACTTCTCTTTGTCTGGAGGCCCTCACACGAAAGGCTTTGGTGGGCCTTGATTGACCTCTAGTTCCCATGCCAAGGTGACAAGAGTCCTACTCTAATCCTATTGAGAAAAATACTACCTCATCCTTTTGAGGTGATTATCTCACACTACAACAAATCACATGTTTTAGCAGCCCTTTTTAATTAGGAGGAAGATCAAATGACTTGGTCTTACTTGATTTCATTCAAAGCAGTGTTCTCAGTGTGACTGACTTATTAGAATATATATTTTATCAGTATAGCACTACGTAATTCCATTGTCAGGTAACTATTCCAAACATGTTATATAACTGTTGTTTGAAAGGTTTATGGAACATAGATAAACCTATCTTTTAAGATTAAGAAAACTCAGTACATGAAAACCCAGATTTAACAAAATGAGAACTATAGAAAGAGCTTAAGTACATTTTCAGTTTTTTTTTTTTTTTTTTTAAGATTTATTTATACAAGCACTGGGTATAGTCAGAAGCGCGGGAGGGTGAGAGAATTCACCAGAGCCAGAGGGGAGAGCAGAGCAGGCAGACTGACGTAGTACACTGCTGAGGGGAGCAGCGGGTGGCAGGAGAGGTCTGCGTGCCATGTGGGACCCTCGCCTGGCGGCAGGGGATGGAACTGGCGCTGCAGAGGCTGCGGGCAGCTTCGTAATCCAGCGCTCAACTGCTGCGCCACCAGGTGAGGCCCTCATTTTCAGGTTTTTAAAATGATCACAAAGGTAATCTTTGCTCATGGAAGAAATCCTAAAAGGTTTAAAAAAAACTAAGGCATACTAAAGTTTTTGAGTTTTAGGCACGACTGGATTCAAATTGTGCAACTTCAATCTAGCAAACAGAAAGAAGCCTTGAGGAGCTGTAAAAAATTAAAGGCTTACAGGCAGAGGGAACAGGAACAAGGAACTTTAGACAAAAAGCAGTTTGGTTATATTAAGATTACTTTCCTTTATGCAATGTTGGGGGTCTGTCAGGCAGATTACCTAACTACTGGTCAGGTGATTCCTGATTGACTAGTTAAGTACCAATTCTGGGAGAACTGAAACTCTAATGTTTCAGTTTGGTGACATGGAGTTTAGCATAAAAGATTCCATCTTGGGCATGTTGTCTTGTCTTTAGCACAGGGGAGGATAAAGAGAGTTGGATGAGTAATGAAGTTTCTCCATTTTAGCATGCTTAAGTCACTTGGGTTTTGTCTTCCTGTCTCTTTTCTCTGAAGGTTAACCATGTGAGTGGGGCAAAGCAAGAAGGTTGAAGTGGTTGGTATATGCACCCAGGTTTATTAAAACAAATTGGCAGGTATTAGGTATAGTTTCCTCATTGTTGGAGAGGAATTTATATTGAATGGGGAAGCCAGAAAGATCTTTGAAGTGTTAAATTGGAATTGGAAATATTGATGTGGAACCATGGCTTTTAACTTGTATAATTAAATCTACATACATATGTGGATATGCATGTTCCAATATGTTTCTATGTACCCACACATATACATAGTTCTCAACTCAGTCAAGCAAGAGACTACAAAGCACCCTAGTACTAACGGGCACACTGGCTGCCCAGAGCTTCTAAATACATGCCTCCCTGAAAGGAACCCAATTCCATGGAGAAATGACTGATAGAAGAACTGGGTTGGGGTGGGGGGCCTCCCCGGTGGTGCAGCTGGTTGAGCGCAGTGCTGTGAAGCTGTCCGCAGCCTCTGCAGTATGGGTTCAATTCTGGCCAGCGGGGGGGAGAATCCCACCTGGCGTGGCAGACCTCTCCTATCACGTGTGCTGTTCCCCTCAGCAGTGTTTTGGTCAGCTGCCTGTTCTGCTCCCTGCTTTGTCTCTGGTGAATCCTCTCACCCTCCTGCGCCTCTGGCCTTACCCCAGCTCTTGTATAAAAATAAATAAATCTTTAAAAAAAAAAACAAAAAACCTGGGATGGGGAAAACAAAAGATAAGCCCGGGTCATTGTTTTATCCCAGAGAGTATTCTGAACATTTTCAGGTTTGAGGCCTCAGAAGTAGAGAACTTTCTGGGGATCTAAAGATTGATCCATAATGTACCATCCTAAGAAGGGATCAAAGTGTGAAGAAAGCTAGGAGAGCGGTGATTGTGAGGATTTAGTACTGGAGGCGGGGGTAGATCACTGAAGAGAGGCAGGAGGTTTGATGACAAGCAACAAGGGTGAAGGCACTGAAGACCAAGTTTGTATCCTTGAAGTCAGTAGACATTTCATTTTAAAAAAGGAAATGGATGGGCCTCGCTGGTGGCGCAGCGGTTGAGCGCTGGGTTGCGTAGCTGCCCGCGGCCTCTGCGGCGCTGGTTCAATCCCTGGCTGCTCCCCGGCCACCAGAGGAGGGTCCCACATGGCGCGCAGACCTCTCCTGCCGCCCGCTGCTCCCCTCAGCAGTGTACTTCGGTCCTTCTGCCTGCTCTGCTCCCCGCTCTGGCTCTGGTGAATTCTCTCACCCTCCCGCGCTTCTGACTGTACCCAGTGCATGTATAAACAAAAAACAAACAAACAAACAAACAAACAAATAAATAAAACATGCCTCTATAAAAAAAAAAATAAAAAAGGAAATGGAGATATAACATACATTCTGGGCTTCAGCACAGGAGAGATTGTTGGGGAATAGTGTCTAAAAGTAGCAATCGAGGTGTAGACTGAGCCTTCTCTTGCTGTTGAGGAGGAACAGCCTCTATGCTACATAGGGTCTCCTGGACTGTACATGACTTTGAGGCAAGATTACATTGTTGTTTCTTCTGATAGCCTATGCTTTAGGCTCTCTTAGTAACCTGGAAGAACTGATCCTTCCTGGGGGAGATGGGATTCATCACGTTGGCAAGTTGATTATCCAGCAGTGCCAGCATCTTCAGTGTCTCCGGGTTCTCTCATGTTGCCAGAATTTGGACGATGACAGTGTGTTGGAAATTGGTAAGCTACCCTCAGATAAATGGTTTCAGTGGTATTAGTCAAGCTCTTCACAGCATAATGTCAAGAAAAACATTCGCCCCTCTAAAAATAATTAGTGTTTGGTTATGGCTGGCTGCTCTAGGTGTAGGTACTATAGGCAAACAGGGGATGGTGGGTGAGCTGCTGCAATCCATGGGGGGGAGAAGGGGACAGCTGCACAGATCCTAAAAAGTAGGGCAGGGGGTGCTGTTGTCTAGTGTCCCTTCTCTGTCGCCCTCAGGCTGTGGTCCCAGTCCACATGCACCACAGGTCCTCCACTCCACACTGTCTCTACTATCCCCCTTGCTCCCCACACCCCATGCATCAGTTGTTCTGGCAGACTTACCCCAGACTGCCACCTCTGTGTGTCTCCCTCTTCACCTGCCTGCTATCACGCAGATGTGTGGCTCTCTCCAGTATCCTTCTAACATAGTCTGTCTTTGTTGCATTCGTGCAGATTGCTTCCAGGTCGCCCCAGTGTTGTAGGGTTTGGACAGTGGTGTCTTGTTCTGCATTCTTTACGGATCTGAATATTTTATTTTTGTGAGGGACAGTTAAGTAGGAATGACTTATTTGTCATCTTGGTGATGTCACTCTGGAAATCCGGGAGGTATTTAGAAAATACTGGAGCAATTTCTATTTTTGGTGATTGCAGGGAAGGAGATTGGTTCAGAGAACCTAGTCTGCCATTACTGAGATAGTCCTTATGATTTTGTTTCCATAAATCTTTTGTTTTTATAGCCAAGGTAGCAATCATTGGAGGTTTCCAGAACCTTGAGATCTTAAATCTTTCAGTAAATCACAAAATCACAGAAGAAGGATATAAAAATTTCTTTCAAACACTGGACAACCTGCCAAAATTGCAGCAGCTGTGTATAACCAGGCATTTCACAAATTGTATCAAAACTCAAGCCACAACGCTCAAGTTTTTGAGTCAATGTGTATCACGACTGCCAAGCCTCACCCATCTTCATATGGAAGGTTGGCTCCTGGATGCAGAAGACATTGCACTGCTTAATGCCATGAAAAACAAACATCCTCAATCTAAACGCTTAAATATACACTATAAATTGCTAATGCCATTCAATCCAATCATTCAGAAGTAGAAGATTTAAGTAGCAAAAAACTGCTGATTCAAGAAAATTTTTGTCAACAATTCTGAAAACCCAATTATTCAACACAGTATTAATACTGCATATAAAAGAGCTTTTTTAAAATGTGTAGTAAAATAAATTTCCCAACACCCTGGTTATCAAGTGATGAGGTTTAAGAAACAGATTATTACAGCACGTCCGAAATCTCTGAATGTTCTTCCCCATCTAAAGTTAAGCCCCTAAATCAGTTTTATACAAATAAATGTCTATTTCTAGAGTAAGGCATCAGGTTGAGGTTAACTATGGTGACATAAAATAGAAGTGCCAAAGGGAGGAATTAGGAAGAGGTGCACTGACCAATGTTAAAATCAACATATGGAAAAAAAATATTCAAGTTATATATGAAATGGTTAATTTAAGGATTGCATCTGTCTCACATACAGGTCACATGACTTTATAGGAACAGAGTTCCAATGGATCTGTTGTAGGCCAAGAAATAGTTCTTAATTCTTGTAGCACATATGTATTATTTATTTAATATCTACTGCCAATGTTTAGAAATTAAAGGAAAATGCTGTTATTTCAGAGGCTTTGTTTCAATGCATTACATAAGCAAAACTTGAAGAACAGAATTTAGCTAAATTTTTATTCTCTCGAATACTGGGAATTTTAGATAACCACGTCTGAGAGTTCATCATATGCACTTAATGGCATTAGAATTTTCTTATGAATATACTCTGCTCAGGGAAAAAGATTTGTCTTCAGTGATTTCATATTGCTCAAAGTATCACTTCTGATATCAAAGTCTACATTTACATCTGCGTCCATTTCTGTCATTTAAGAGTAGATTTTTTTCAAAGGCTGGAAGGCCATTTCCAATTCACAATGTTAGTATAAATTAGAAAACATTCTCTTACCCTAACTTTTATTCTTACTAAGGTCAAAATTAGTCCTCCAACTTTCCTTAAGTCTAAGTCATCGGGACATTATGTATAGTATTATCCCATTTGTTTAAAATATATACTCTGTGTGAAAATGTTTACTTGCACTTAGATACATACGTACGAATGAATCAAACTTCACAAAATAACTTTATAAAACAAAGCTGTAATGGATTATGACTTTACTAAGATCCAAATATGTGTAATAAAAACTTAGAAATACAAGATTCCTTACAGATTTATTTAATCTGCTATCTTTACATGTTCTCTTTGATGCTCTCCCACCAGGTTTTTTTATTCTTTCATTCCACCAAAACAGGTCTTTTAAGGGTGACCCACAATCTTCACATTGCTAAACTCACTAATACTTCCCAATGTCATCCTGCCTGACTTGTTAGCAGCAATTTGACCTAAGTGTAGCTTTGATATGGTCTATCATTCCTCAAAATATTCTTATTTTGGCTTCCATAGTATCCCTCCCAGGTTTCCTTTAAACTCTGAGAGCTGCCTCAGTCTCTTCTACTGCTCCTCCTATCTGAACTCTGAACATTGGGAGCACCCTGGCCTTGTGACATTTTGTTTTTATCTTATCCTGCTGAATGAACTGAATTGAATTCCATGTCTACATACTACTAAATTTGTATGTCTAGCCTAGATCTCTCCTCAGAACTCATATCCAGTCCAATGGGCATCTAAAATTTCACATGTCCAAATCTAAACTTCTTTTCATAAATATTCTTTATGCAGATTTCTCCATTTCTTTAAATTCCAACGCTTTCCTTCAGCTTGCTTAGGCCAAAAACCTTGGGAATCATTCTCACCTCGCTCTGTCCTATCCTCAAGTAACCTATTTGGAAGTTCTGAATTCTACTTGCAAAATAAACTCAGATCCAAACATTACTACCCACTTGTCCTAAACTAGTCAGCCTGCTGCCTCTCTTGAAACTTGTGGTCTCTCTTCAACCATCAGCAATCATGAGACTCTTTTTGTAAATCAGATTATGTTATCCCTTTGGTTCAAAAGCTTCCACTGGACCCCCAGTCAAAGCAAATGCTAAAGACTTTACCATGGCCTACCTATGCTCCGATACTTGGCAACTTCCCGAACCTCATCTCTTCACTTCAGCTGGTTTATTTGCTTTTCCCTGAAAATGCTAAGAATGGACTTGTCATTTCCTTTTGCCTTTGTCATTTCCTAAACCCCTTTCCCTAATTCCTTTTTCTCTGTTGGCTGCACCACTATCTACCAGCTTATACATTTCACTTGTTTACTGGCTGGTTCTCACTACTATTAGCAGGAATTTTTAATCAGTTCTGTTCATTCCTATTTCCCAAACATCTAGAAGAATGCTTAACACAGACACCAAAAAATGAGTAACTATTTGCTGGGTGAATGATTTCCTCAATCTACCACCTCTTTCCAATGGTATTAGGTACTAGCGGAGGTAACATCAAAAACATGTTAGAAAATACCTTCATGACTAAATTTATCCTGGCATGGGCCTCCCAGTGGCGCAGTGGGTTAAGCACTGCACTGTGAAGCTAGCCGCAGCCTCTGCAGCGCTGGTTCAATTCCCAGCTGGCCAGGAGAAACCCACATGACGCGGCAAACCTCTCTTCTCTCACGCACTGCTCCCCTCAGCAGTGTCTTCGGTCCACCTGCCTGTTCTGCTCCCCGCTCTGTCTCTGGTGAATTCTCTCACCCTCCCACGCCTCTGACTCTACCCCAGTTCCTGTATAAATAAATCTTTAAAAATAAATAAATACATTTAACTTGGCATATACTCAGGCTGTTAAAACATGCTGCATGTATAAAATATTGGCTGGCGAAAAAACTTCACTCATCCTGTACAAGAAAGCTTACACCATAGATTATCCCATTCTATGAAGCTTACTTATCGGGCATTGAGTATTTATCCAACAAAGTATATTCTGGGCAGCTACCAATATGCTAGGTTTAGACCTGTCAAAACCTCTAAAAGGGGGCCTCCCTGGTGGTGCAAGGGGTTAAGCACCACACTATGAAACAGTCTGTAACCTCTGGAGCACAAGTTCGATCCCCAAGCCAGCCAGGGAGCTGACCACATGGCGCAGCAGACCTCTCCTGTCTCTCCTGCTGCTCCCCTCAGCAGTGTATTTCATTAAATCCACCTGTTCTGTTCCCTACTCTGTCTCTGGTGAATCCTCTCACCCCCCGCATCTCTGGCCTGTATCCCAGCTCTTGTATACATAAATAAATCTTTAAAAAAAAAAAAATTCTGAAAGGAATGATGCTTACATCATTCTCTGCTGCAAATAAGTGAACTAGACACATGGCCACCAACCCTTACACTAAAATATGATCTAGTCTCCTGAGAATCTGAACACAGAAAAAGAAAAATGGATAATGGATAGAAATACAAGGTTGTGATGAGAAGAGAATGTCTTGGGGGCCTCCCCGGTGGCGCAGCGGTTGAGCGCTGGGTTGCGAAGCTGCCCGCGGCCTCTGCGGCGCCGACTCGATCCCCGGCTGCTCCCCAGCCACCGGAGGAGGGTCCCACATGGCGCGCAGACCTCTCCTGCCGCCCGCTGCTCCCCTCAGCAGTGTACTTCGGTCCTTCTGCCTGCTCTGCTCCCCGCTCTGGCTCTGGTGAATTCTCTCACCCTCCCGTGCTTCTGACTGTACCCAGTGCTTGTATAAATAAGTAAATAAATCTTTAAAAAAAAAAAAAAAAGAAGAGAATGTCTTGGGCAGCCATGGGTGGCAGGTACCTAATAAGAATGTAGAGGAAAGCAGAAGAGAGAACAGGAAGGTGCAGAGAGAATAATGTTACTATGACTACCAAGAAACAGAACATAGGGGCCTCTCTGGTGGCGCAAGGGGTTAAGTCTTGGCACTATGAAGCTATCTGCAGCCACTGCAGCACAAGTTTGATCCCCAGCCAGGGAGCACCCCACATGGCACAGCAGACCTCTCCTGTCTCACCCGCTGCTCCCCTCAGCAGTGTATTTCAGTCAGTCTGCCTGTTTTGCTCCCCACTCTGTTTCTGGTGAAACCTCTCACCACCACCCCCCACCACACCTCTGGCCTACACCCCAGCTCTTATATGCATAAATAAAATAAATCTTAAAAAAAAAAAAGGAAAGAAACAGAACATAGCTTTGGTTCCTGACTAGATTATCTTGTCTAATTTTGTTTTACCACAGAATGTGTAGTAAACAATTTGACCCACTGCCCAAATCAGCTTGGGTAGTTTTTTCTACAATTTAGAGATCCAACTCGCCATATATAGTCCAAAGAAAAGTATTCAGATAGCTACATTTAAAAAAAAAAATTATCATTTATTTATAAAGGCATTTAAAAAAGCTTTACATACTAAGAATGCTACAATGTACAAACGTGTTCAATCGCAGTTTTAACAGACGAACTTTTCTGCACTATATATGACCTTGAGTTTCTTGTAATCACTCACATTTCCATTGTTCAGTTATTCAAACTCATATTTCCTAGAAATACCTGGTTGCTTATTTAAGCACAATTCACACACAACAAGGGTAAATGCAGATGGTTTTTGCCACCCAACCAACGGTTTGGTTCATGAAGAAAATGATGAATGTTTTGTTCACATCAACCAGGGCACATCAAAATATTCTCCTTGGGAGTGAGCTGCACCTGAATTTAAAAGAAAAAAGGTCTAGATACAGTTAGGAAATTAAAAAATCTATTTTCTTATAAAATCATAAAGAAGAGGGGCCTCCCTGGTGGCGCAAGGGGTTAAGCACAGCACTATGAAGCAATCCGCAGCCTCTGCAGCACCAGTTCAATCCTCGGCCAGCCAGGGAGCTACCCATGTGGTGCAGCAGACCTCTCCTGTCTTACCCAAAGCTCCCCTTAGCAGTGTATTTCAGTCAGTCTGCCTGTTCTGTTCCCCACTCTGTCTCTGGTAAATCCTCTCACCTACCTCCACCCTACCTCTGACCCCGATTCTTGTATGCATAAATAAATCATAAAAATCGTAAAGAAGAGAATGAAAAGCTATACAATCATCACGATAAAGCTGGCCTAAAAATAAGCTAATAGAAGGACAACACTACTTTGAAACTTAGGGGATAGTTAAATAGACACTGTGAAGTTTATCAAGAGGAGTAATAGGGAAGAAGTTTTAAAAATAATACAAGGTAGGGCCTCCCTGGTGGCACAAAGGATTAAGACACAACTTATGAAGCTGTCCGTAGCCACTGCAGCATGAGTTCCATCCCTGACCAGCCAGGGAGCAACCCACATGACACAGCAGACCTTGCCTGGCGTGCCCGCTGCTCCCCTCAGCAGTACATTTAAACCGGTCAACCTGTTCTGCTCCCCACTCTGTCTCTGGTGAATCCATTCATCCCCCACACCTCTGGTCTGTACCCCAGCTCTTGAATACATATATAAATAAATCATTAAAAAAATAAATAAAAATAATACAAGGTACTTGATCTTTTCTATTGGAATTTTAAACATAATTTTCAAATTCATGTGTTGAAAAAACAAGTGATTACAAATACAAATAACATTTTCCATTACAATACAATAAGACCAGGACCTCCCCAGTGGCGCAGTGGTTGAGCACTGGGCTGCGAAGCTGCCCGCAGCCTCTGCAGCACCGGTTCGATCCCCGGCTACTGGGCGAGGGTCCCACATGGTGCGCAGACCTCTCCTGCCGCCAGCTGTTCCCCTCAGCAGTGTATTTTGTCGGTCTGCCTGTTCTGCTCTCTGCCCCGGCTCTGGTGAATTCTCTCACCCTCCTGTGCTTCTGACTGTACCCAGTGCTTGTATAAATAAATAAATAAATCTTAAAAATAAAATAAAATAAAATAAAACCAGAAAATAAACCTAACTTCCTAGAATTTAAACCACTTATTAAATGTTTCCAGAGTTGAAAACAAACTCAAAATTGTCTAGACAATAAGAATTCTACAGAATACAAGGAAATTTTTGAGAGAGAAATTCAATTGTGAAATATCTACTTTTAAAAAAATATTTATTTATGCATACAAGAACTGGAGTGTAGAGGTGCGAGGGGTGAGAGGATTCACCAGAAACAGAGTGGGGAGCAGAACAGGCGGATCTCCTGAGACACACTGCAGAAGGGAGCAGCAGGCAGACTGGGGCAGTCTGCTGCACCATGTGGGTTAGCTCCCTGGCTGGGAATTGAACTCATGCTGCAGTGGCTGGCAATAGTGGCTCAACTTGACAGCGGTGAGACTTTAATCCCTGTACCACCAGGGAGGCCCTGGAATATCTAATTTTTAAAACACTGAGAAGGAAAGTTTTAAAAATTTATAAAGGAAGCAGTAATACCAAAATAACCTCTGATATATCATTTAGGTTCAGTGGAACCAATTTTAGTTATATTAAGCAGTTCTGTTATTAAGGATTCATGCATGTTGCCTTCTTTTTAGGGATGTGCTGAAGAATGAAAAGAAATTTTACTTCTTTTTTTTTTTTTTTTTTTTTAAAGATTTATTTATTTATTTATACAAGCACTGGGTACAGTCAGAAGCGTGAGAGAATTCACCAGAGCCAGAGCGGGGAACAGAGCAGGCAGACTGACAAAATACACTGCTGAGGGGAGCAGCGGGCGGCAGGAGAGGTCTGCACGCCATGTGGGACCCTTGTTGGTGGCTGGGGATCGAACCGGTGCTGCAGAGGCTGCGGGCAGCTTCGCAGCCCAATGCTCAACCGCTGCACCACCAGGGGAGGCCTGAAATTTTACTTCTTAAAGGAAAAAAAAAAAGCTTTTGCAATTAGAAATTGGGTCCTGGAATAAGGTAGGTGGAATTTGAAGAGGAGGTAGGATTTAAAAAATATTTACTTAATGCATACAAGAACTGGGGTGCAGGCCAGAGGTGGGGAGGTGAGAGGATTCACCAGAGAGCATGGGGAGCAGAACAGGCAGAGCTACTGAAATACACTGCTGAGGGGAGCAGCAGGCGAGACAAGAGAGGTCGGCTGTGCCATGTGGGTTGAAACTCATACTGCAGGGCCTCCCCGGTGGCGCAGCGGTTGAGCGCTGGGTTGTGAAGCTGCCAGCAGCCTCTGCAGCGCCAGTTCAATTCCCGCTGTTCCCTGGCCACCGAAGGAGGGTCCCACATGGCACGCAGACCTCTCCTGCCGCCCGCTGCTCCCCTCAGCAGTGTACTTCGGTCCTTCTGCCTGCTCTGCTCCCGGCTCTGGCTCTGGTGAATTCTCTCACCCTCCCGCGCTTCTGACTGTACTCAGTGCTTGTATAAATAAATAAAAATAAATCTTTAAAAAAAAAAAAAGAAACTCATGCTGCAGTGGCTGGCGATAGTTTGATAGAGCTGTCTTTAACCCCTGCGCCACCAGGGAGGCCTGGAGGTAAGATTTAGAAAGCAGAGATTTGAAGAAACTGAAATTTCCACTTATGCCTTGCCCAGATCCTGTATTATGCATGTACTGGTAACACTCTACATGACTTGAAAAGCAGTTGCTGGGGGCCAAGAACTGGAGAGAGATTTGTGAGGTTGTACAAGTATTTTTCAACATGATGACTTATATAATTTCAAAAACAACCCTTCCAGGCATACACCTCCCATTCTGAAATGGAAAATAGGTTTTTCAAAAATCTGCTTGTTGAGATAAAATGAAATCTACAAGAATCATAATAATGTCTACAATCTTTCATCAAATAGCCAGAACACAGAAATTTATCCTAAGGTCATGACATAACAGAATCAAATTACTGCATATAAGATGTTTACTGTAATGTTAATAAGCAGAATGCCTGAACTCTATATTACGCCTGAACTCCAGCATAATATACTGGCAAACGATCTGCCAGAAAGAATATACAAAAAGATTAAAAATGTGATGTTAAGTGGGGACACATACATGTAAAATATAAATGAATATGGACCCAAAATGTAAAATAGGGTGTGAAAAAGGAATATAATGACAGACACATGGCTTGTACTAATTTAGCTTAAAAATACTGAACATTTTTATTGCCTTTTCATAGAAAATAAAATATTTAGTACAATTAGCATCCAAAGCACACCGTTTAGTCAGTAATCAACACTTTGCCATATATACTTCACACATACTTTTTGTTTAATCACTTTAAAATTAAATATTAGAGACACTTCTCAATACTAGAGTATGCAAACTGAAAGACATTATTCTAAAAAATACCCTTATCACAGCTCATAAAATTAGTAATTATCTAATATCACTTAAAATCCAGTCCAGATTTAAATCTCCTGAATCCTTAAGTCTTTTATAGTTGGCACAAGGATGCCATATTGCATTTGGCCATCATATCCTGTAAGTCACTTTTAATCTAGAATAGCTACCCACCACAGCCTTTTTTTTTTCATGACTACTTTTTGAAGAAACGAGACAAGTTATCTTCCATAACATTCCACATTCTCAACTGTCTCATCATTTCTTTTGAGGCATTAATTCAATGCTCTATCCCCAGTTTACCTGGTAAATGGGAAAGTGGCCCTTAAGGACTTTACACAATTCCAGTTAAACTTGTATGGCCACAGCAGAATACAATGCATTTCATACTGCATCACACATATAATTTATACAAAAGCAAGATTCACTTTTATAATGATAGCAGACTTACTCCTTAATTGAAATGTGAGCACCTTCCTTGTTTTTGATTTTGTCTGAAACCCTATAAAGAAAATAAAGGAATTTTAAAACTAGCATACACATTTTATAAAAATGCAAATATTTTATTTCATGTAAGACATTTTACTAAGTCTATTTACCACATATCAGAAAATAAGTTATTAGCCTTTGAATATACCCTAAAAGTAAACCCAAAGTTAACATTAGGTTGCAGTTAAGATATTTTCTTCTTTCACTTAGCCAAATAAAGTTTCTGAATCTACTTACACCTTATTTCTATCAAATTAAATATACAATGTATCATCTTCATTTATCAAAAAATAAAACCATTAAAGAACAGTACTCACTAAGCAAATGCAATGAGTAAAAACAAAACCTTGAGTATTTACTATTTTTCCTGGTCAGATCTAGTCCAAATGTCCTCTCTCTTTCTGTCCTGGCTTAATGCCTTCCTTCTCTTTCCCGAAATATCAATATATTCCAGCTTTCCACTTTAATACTAGTCTATACCTTAGAAACCGTAAGAGGTTTTAAAAGTGACTTCCTACTAATAAGTGCCAGTTATGTAATTCCAATAACCATTACTAAGTCACTTTCATTCTTGCTTGGATTTCTAGAGAAAGCAAAAGGTAGGCTGAGAGCTGGATTCAAATCATATCTGCTAAACAGAAAAATTGTCAATCGTGTGCTGCTGTGGTGCAATGGTTAAGATTTGCTACCCACGGGCCTCCCTGGTGGCGCAGCGGTTGAGCACTGGGTTGCGAAGCTGCCCACAGCCTCTGCAGCGCCAGTTCGATCCCCGGCTACTCCCCGGCCACCAGAGGAGGGTCCCACATGGTGCACAGACCTCTCCTGCCGCCCGCTGCTCCCCTCAGCAGTGTACTTCGGTTCTTCTGCCTGTTCTGTTCCCTGCTCTGGCTCTGGTGAATTCTCTCACCCTCCTGTGCTTCTGACTGTACCCCAGTGCTTGTATAAATAAATAAATAAATCTTAAAAACAAACAAACAAACAAAAAAATCTTTATATATAAAAAAAAAAAAAAAAAAAAAAGATTTGCTACCCGGGGAAAATGACAAAAACACTTGAAGCAGTTAGAAAACTTAACAATGTGGTTTCTTTCTTTTTTATTTTAAAGATTTATTTATTTATGCACACAAGAACTGGGGTACAGGCCAGAGGTGCGGGGATGAGAGGATTCACCAGAGACAGAGTGGGGAGCAGAACAGGCAGACTGACTGAAATACACTACTGAGGGGAGCAGCAGGCGAGATAGAAGAGGTCTTCTGTGCCATGAGGGTAGCTTCATGGCCAGCTGGGGTGGAACTCATGCTGCAGAGGCGGCAGAAAGCTTCATAGTGCTGTGCTAAACCCACTGCGCCACCAGGAAGGCCCTGTGATTTCTTTATAATGGTAAAAACTTCAAAGAGACAAAAATGCAAAATCTTGGAAATTGGGATTGTTTTACATTTCTAATTATAAGCATATGTTATATTTTAATTTAAGTAGATATACAAATAATACTCCTGAAAGTAAAAATCAAACCTCCGGAATAAGTTAGTCACAGATTAGCTTGAATTTGTGGCAAATATTTGGACAAGGCTATCAAGATTGGTTGCTTGAACTCATGAATGGAACAAAACATCTACATTTCGTTGGCAAACAATGAAGTTATAAGTTCACTGAAAATCTCTAGATTTTAGGGCCTCCCTGGTGGCGCAGGCGGTTGAGCACGGCTCTGTGAAGCTGTCCGCAGCCTCTGCAGTGCCAGCTCTATCCCTGCCAGCCGTGGAGCAACCCACATGGTGAGCAGACCTCTCCTGTCTCACCTGCTGCTCCCCTCAGCAGTGTATTTCAGTCAGTCCGCCTGTTCTGTTCCCCACTGTCTCTGGTGAGTCCTCTCACCCTCATACATCTGGCCTGTACCCCAGTTCTTGTATAAATAAATCCTTAAAAAAAAAAATCTCTAGGTTTTAGAAACAGTATAGTCGAGTAAATGAAATAGAAATGTTTATAAATATAATTCATCCAAGCCTCCCTGGTGGCACAAGGGGTTAAGTCTCAGCTATCACAAGCCACTGCAGCAGGAGTTCGATCCGCAGCCAGGGAGCTAACCCACATGGTGCAGCAGATCTCTCCTGTCTTGCCTGCTGTTCCCCTCAGCAGTGTATTTCAATAGATCTGCCTATTCTAGACCCCACTCAATCTCCGGTGAATCCTCTCACCAATCCCCACCCCTGCACCTCTGGCCTACACCCCAGTTCTCGTATGCATAAATAAATAAAAATCTTTAAAATATATAAAACAAAACACTTTTGTCATAAGCAGAACAAAGTCACACAACCACAGAGTGATTGTGAGGAAAAGATGATCACTTACCATATAGTAACCAGTATGATAGCCACTCATGTACCAAGATATTAACATACTTCCCAAAGCATCAGCATCATCAAGAGAATCTGGACATATAGGAGGTGGTGGGGGAATCATCTGGAAATTAAGAAAGATACACTTTAAAGTCACAAAACAAAAGACATGCAATCTGGAGATGCATTCCACATAGAAAATGCTAGATCTTAGTTCTCTCTTTCTCTACATTCCATATGCTCTCTTATTTAGAATAATGTTTAAAATAAACAAGAGGTCACACAAAATGTTTCAATATTTTTGCTCTGATTATAATATTTCCATTCCATTATTAAGCAATGGGTAAAAGACCAAGCGTAAATACTTTTAAGGTTTTTCTCAAAAAATACGCAGTATTTCAAGTAATGGTCTTAGGCAGAACATCTGTGCTTCTCTCACCCCCAACACATGCAGTTTGCCCAAAGTGTCTTTCTATCTAGCCTACTGTTGGTACCTAAAAGTCTAACATTTAGCTATCCAGATAGTTTATGTGATCAAAAGCTAATATCCAAGTATACCTGGAAGGACAAAACACATTAATCGTATTCATGGTGTAATTACATCCTTTCAAATAGCTACCTCCATAAGGAATCTACACCAGGAAGGAAGAAGGCAATATTGGACTTAGAATTGGAGCTATAAGAATGAGCTTGAGAAAGGAATTAAAAACAGTTCAATTTTTTTTTTACTATTAGAATCTGGCTTTGAAGATGATCTAAAATGACATTTCCTAACCACTAAAACCAAACTGTGTGTGAAAACAAAGCTTAATCTGAATTCTTTTGTACTTACTGGTGGTCCAGAAGGAAATGGAGGCATCCAGCAAGATAGGAAGTGGGGTGGTGGTGGGGGTGGTGGTGGTGGTGGTGGTGGTGGTGGTGGTGGGCTGCTGAATTTTAGACCAGGCTGCAAAGAACATTCCAAAGACGTATTAATTTACCAATTTCAACATGAAAGGAAGAAAAAAGATTCAGTACCAAAGGAATCAAATTAATTGCCCAGAATAATAGACATTTAAACACATGAAAAAGGTAACAGAATTTCATGTACCAAATGCTCAAGTCAAATAGAATCATAACTCTAGGTTTTTCTCCTTTCCTTTCTGTGTGGACATTTGGGGAATTAAACAAAAAAGATTTTTAATTACCTAAGCACAAACAGTCCATTTAGCAAGATATTTCAATCACAGCAGACTGTGTTTCCCATAATTTTATTAGCTAAACTAATCTTTTTATGGATGTATTTTTAGTTACAAATAGCATATAACGTAAAAACCAGTAAATCTCTCACTCATGAAAAACTGGCCCCCTGAGAATACTGAGGCATGATTTATATAAAATAAAAGGTTTGATCATCCTAGAAACGCTAACACAATACAAGCCTCAATAAGAAACTTAACAATGGAACTAGACGGCAATGTTGTAAGTGAATTAAGCCAGAAGAAGACAGGCAAATGCCATACGATTTAACTGGTAAAATTAAAAAACAAAACTGACACTGACAACAGAATGGTGTCTACCAGAGGAGATGAGGGAAGGAGAGGACAGAGGAACTAAGTAATTGGTGGTAGATGGTGACTGGACATTTGGTGGTGTGGCATGTAAGAAAATGTAAGAACATTTACAACACACATACAGTGTTGTAAACTTGTTACCACAATAAAAAAGAAGGAAGGAAGGAGGGAGGGAGGGTAGGAAAGAAGGAGGGTTGGAGGGAGGGAAGGAAGGAAGGAGAAACCTGTCACAGAAGATCTTAAGGGACAGTTGATTAAATCATGCTTTACGAAAATTACTGCCTGAATTACCACACCATCCAGTTAAGAATTCACTGATTTATACAAAAGAACAGAACAGGCACCAACCTATTTAGGCTCCATGGTATAAACTATAATAAAAAAATTTTTAAAGTTGATTTGTTTACTTAAAACCAGAAAACTAAGTGAAAACAACATTTACATTTTACTGTACAAAACAATCTGGGAGTATCTTAGGATCTTATTCTTATTAAATACAAGTATTATGTTCACTTTCTATTTTTATATACTGAAGTTTGCTAAATTATTAGACTAAATCCTAATAGTTCACAAAAGTAGTTAGGAAAGCCATTACAAACTATTCTGAATCATCATCTTATTTTCTTTTCAAAGAATCCTCAAGTGTGTATAATGTCTACAGCAAGCCATATAAGCTTCATGGGAAAAGCAACAATTCCCTTATGGGGGGATGGTAGTGTTTTGAAAGTTCCAACATTATTAACAATTTCATGGATAGAAGTTTACCTTTCCTGGTCCCATTCCTGATCCTGGCATGGGGGGTGGTGGAGGAAGAAAAGAATTCCATGGAGCAGCTTTTGACTTGATATTATTTGGTTTATTACCGGGAGATCTGGAGGAGTTCTCACTTTCATCTGTTGAAATTTGGCTTTCATTTTCATTCTTTAAAAAGAAAAAAATTAATGTATTTTTGTGAGAAAGATATGATTAAGAAAAATGTATTATCCCAGTAGCTCAACTGACAACTAATTATGTTCTTGCTTCCCATCTAGTCTCTGCTTCTAAGAATTCTTAAATCTTTCTGTTCTTACCTCCTGAGTATTTTGTTCTGCATTATTAGCTATTTCAGAGGTTGAAGAAAGTAGATCAGACAGCTTTTGCTCCTCTCTATTTCCATATCCAGTATAAACCACAATACAGGTTTCTCTCTTAAAATCAAGTGAAGCAATGGTAGCTGGGTAAATGCAGCCATCTTCTGACCAAATGGCAGCACATTTGTCACCAACTTTCCACTATAAAAGAAACCAAAGATACATACATGAACACATTTCTTTCAAAGAGGGTAACCTACAGCCTTGTTTGGGGGGGGGGGTGGAGCACAGAAGGAATAGTCTTCAGTCAACTGATCCGGCAGAATGATGCAGTGAAAAGGCTGTGGGCCAAAAACACATATATCTGAAATCTAATTATTAATCCAATTCTGCCATTTATATAATCATATATTTGCCATATAGTCAGCTATTTAAATAATCATGGATAAGTTTCTTAGTTTCTCTTGAGACATTTCCTCGTCTGTTAAGTGGATATAATATTATCCACTAAATCCTGAAGAATAAAAGCAAAGGAAACATTCTGGCCTGGTACATAGCAAGTGTTCATCAAATATTAGTTCTCTTTTTCCTTTAATTGATGAAACGGAAGTGACTAATGAGACACCAAAATATTTTTCTTCCAAGTTTACTTTTTCAAATAGCAGAAAAATACCCAAGAAATTCTGGTTCCCTGATATTAACAAATTTAGGGATTTTTGAAGGGGGAAAAAAAGCAACAGACATTCATCTCTCAATTTGAGAAGTAAAACACCATTAATTCAGTTTGAAGTCCTCCGGGACCCTCCCAAAGAACGCACAAAGTAATCACAGTGTAGAATTTAGTAGTTATCATTCCTTGCCTACTTTCTTACACTTTCACTAACATGCATGTTCCTAAGTAACAGAAGGTTTAGCAGATGTGTTAGAAATTGTATGATTACATGTCAACAGAAAACCCGGCATCAATTATTTAGGTTACAGATATTTTACACTATTTAACAGGGACAGTAACAACAAATCCTTCAAAATAAACTCTCAATGTTTTAAAATAACCTGCTTCAAGGGAGTTGTGGAATTCTTTTTGTGGCTTTTATTCTTCTTAGCAGGTTTTCTTTTAGGTGTGCCTTTTGGTTTATCTGAAGCTTCAGAAATATCACCATTCTTTAGAGCATGCTATGAAAATACAATGGAAATATATGTTACAGAGTGATTAAAATATAACTTAAAATATAACTGTTACCACTAGAAGGTGGCCTCAAGTTACCACCTCAGATAGCCTTATTTTACCACCCCCAGATTACAGAAACTGCTCCTGAAAGCATATAATACCTGATTATCAGCTCCAAAGATCCTTTTAACCTATCACATCAGATTCTTAATCATCTCTCTTCTTGATAGTTGTGACATGGCAATGCATTTATTATTTTTCTGATCAAGTCTTAAACTTGAGCATTCCCAACAAGAATTGGTCATCCTTCTTTATCTGCTTATGATCATCCATTCCTATTGCCTCAATTATAACCTCTATGCAGAGAGATTTCCAAAGCTTTGACTTACCTTTTTAGTTCAGTCCAACATTTATCTTCACATGTGCCTCAACCTCAATATAACTAAAACTGAACAATTTTTCCAATCCCAATCAGTTTCTTGTCTTCTACTCAGACTCCTGAAATAACACCACCACCATCCTATATAGAACCTCATTTTTATCTGCCTTTACAGAACTATCTTGGTAATCCTGCATTAGTGTACTTTCAGTCTAAGTGTATACTGGAAAGCATGTTATTGACAAATTTAAAAATCAACTTCAATGATGACACACAAATCTGATCTTCATGCTACAGAAATAACTATGGAAGGAAATGGACACTATGCTCAGTGCTCTGTGTCAGTATATGCTCTGTGCCTGGAGTACTGATGGATCATATATGGTGCACAATAAGACAAAATACAGCAGACAGTGGATAAAGCAATGATGTGGGACAAAAGTGTAAACGTCTCATTTAAGTCACTAGAAAAGACTACACCCCCTAAAGAACTATATATTCCTATCATCAGGAACACCTGACTTGATATACAATTCATAGAACTTGGGAGGATGATATTATATTTTAGAACAATGCCTAGAACACTGCAAATATTCTATAAGTATTAGTTACTGAACCATTGCCATTTATCTTATTTCAATAAAGATTTGTTAAATGTTAAAATTTATAATTCAGATTGTCTTTCCACAACCTGAATTAGAGGATGTCTATATTTTAATACAATGTAAAAATATTAAAAGCAATAAAAGCATAAAAGCATAAAATTCTACTGAAATTATCCCTGTTAAAGGGCTAACATATAAGACAGGTTACCTATTTCTAAAGGAAAATAGAATCTAATTTAATTAATACACATTACTTTTTAACCTTCAAAATTAGAAGTGGATATGTATCATATCATTTACTGTAGTTATGTCATCAATTATATTTTCCCCCAAATGAACAGCATGAAGAAGGAAAAGAGTGAATAAACATTTCATACCTTGAATGAAGCCACAGCTTTATCATAAGCTTTTATCAATGCAGTGTCATCCCAAATGTCAGAATCATCACTCTGAATAAAGAATAAAACAATCCGTGAAGTTAAAATAAAAATAAGTTAATGATTATGGTGTTTTCCAGATTACTTAATATATTGTTCCCATTTAAAATGTAATCAATTGATTAGTCACTGTTAACAATTTGATTCCATAAACATTTTGAGAATTCATCTTTGAATAATGTAGACACATTGTTATGTCAAAAGAAAGAGTATACTTTGCACTTCAGGGTTTCTGGTCAGAATAACATTACCATAGTCTGGATAAAGTCAAGTTGATGGTCACATACTTTCCCACTGTGCCAAACTCTATACACTTTATCTTCCCTTAGAAAAGATTGAAACAGGGCCTCCCCAGTGGCGCAGCGGTTGAACGCTGGGCTGCGAAGCTGCCCGCAGCCTCTGCAGCGCCAGTTCCATCCCCGGCCACCAGGTGAGGGTCCCACATGGCGCGCAGACCTCTCCTGCTGCCCGCTGTTTCCCTCAGTAGTGTATTTCTGGTCTAGAAAATACAAGTTAAGATATGATAGAAAGTGGATCAGCAGTCGTCTGGGGAACAAAATGAGGAAATATGAAGTGCAAGGATTAAGAAAAGGGTATAAGCAAATCCAATTCGGCCCACACATTGATACTACGTGGAGAAACTCTGAGAGTACGTGAAGAAAAAAGACGGTGTGCCATTCCCTAGACGTTCGGCCCCCAGTTACTGGCGCTCCAGCTGTATGGACTCAACCGCGCAAAACATCTGAAAGAGAACTGCCCAGCAAAGCCTTCATAAAAACAATAAAATAGGGCCTCCCCGGTGGCGCAGCGGTTGAGCACTGGGTTGCGAAGCTGCCCGCAGCCTCTGCAGCGTCGGTTCGATCCCCAGCTGCTCCCCGGCCACCGGAGGAGGGTCCCGCATGGCGCGCAGACCTCTCCTGCCGTCCACTGCTCCCCTCAGCAGTGTACTTCGGTCCTTCTGCCTGCTCTGCTCCCCGCTCTGGCTCTGGCGAATTCTCTCACCCTCCCTCACTTCTGACTGTACCCAGTGCTTGTATAAATAAATAAATAAATCTTAAAAAAAAAAAAAAAGACCAAACTGTGGTGAAATCAAATAATAGATATTTGAAAATAAAATTTTAGATATTGTCAGTGAAATCCACATTGAATTCAGCTATTGAAAGAACTTGATTAACCATAAAAAAAGCAATAAAATAATAAAATAATTATTGTTGTTTCAAGCTATTACTTTTTGGTGGTTTGTTGTTTGAAGGTAGTAACAGCCAAGACTACCATTACTGACTTTTTATCTGTTTCTCAGTCACAACCAGCAGTCCAGGGTTCTCAAATTATTCCTCACTTTCTGCACTTCTATCACCTCTCCTGACATTTCCACTGTCCTCTCCAATCTCTGATCACATCTTTGAATACTCCCTTCAACTTCTTGCTCTGATTCAGCTTCCAAGCTTTATAAACCTTTATAAACCTGCTTTAGTTGCAGTCTTCCCCACCTCCGCACATCTCCGTAAAAGACAGCTTCATCCTTCCAACCCATTCAGGACAATCTGGAGTTATTCTGAACTTTCCTCTTTCAAACCTCCATTATCGAATCCATAAGCAAAATCCGTTGCCTCTTATTTAAAAATACATCTTAGATACGTCGATTTCTAACACCTCGATCTAGTTAAGCCTGGGTTATTTCAGTCGAGTCCTACGTGGTTTACGTGCTTCAAGCTGACCTGACCCTGTAACACGCCCCAGTCGGGGAGGCGACAAGCCAAGCTGCGGCAGAGTCTCGGCTCAAGGCCAGAAGGGCGTCCACGCTGCGCGAGGAGGCGCGAGGAGGGGAGACTCCCAAGTGGGAAAGATTTAGAAGAGGATCTCGGCATCGCAGTGAGGCGCAAGGCCAAGAACGCGGGGGCCCAGAGGAATTCGGGCAGCCGGAGGGAAGGCACAGCCGGCCGCGGTCTCACCTGGCCGGTGCCACGCCGGAACAGAACCGAGTCCTCCGGCTCCGGGATGCCGCCGCCACCCCCTCCTCCGCCCATCGCCATGGCGTGCTGGCTGCAGGACGCGCGGCGTGGGCTCCGTCCCTTCTGAGTGACGACTTCCGCCGCAGGGGCCTCTGGGAGCGGAAGAGCACGGTGGCCGGAGGGCTGAGCGGGGCTACCAGTGGCGTCGCCTTTCTTGATTGGGAGCGTTCATTGATTCCTCTACTCTAGCCTTTGAATTCACCCTTCCGTGTGTTTGTAGAGTGATTTAAAGAGTATGTTTTATGTTACACAATAAATCTTTGAAAATAAAGTGCATCGCAGGTCATTTAGAAAATATGGGTGGGCAGTACAGTAAAAGTCAGTCCAGAGATCACCAATAATATAGCTAACATTGAGTGCATTTGAGAATTTTGCTTTTTTTATTTCTGTATTTAATCTTCACAACCTCGTGAAGTAAGTGTTCTCACTCCCATTTTATTTATTTTTAAAAGATTTTCTAAAAATGTATGTATACAAGGGCCTTCTGGGTGGCCCAAGGGGTTAAGCACAGCACCATGAAGCTGTCTGCAGCCTCTGTAGCGCGGGCTCGATTCACGGCCGGCCAAGGAGAAACCCACGTGGCGCAGCAGACCTCGCCTTTCTCCCCGCTGCTCCCCTCAGCAGTGTATTTCAGTCAGTCTGCCTGTCCCGTTCCCCACTCTGTCTCTGGTGAATCCTCTCACTCCCCACACTTCTGGCCTGTACCCCAGCTCTTGTATGCATAAATAAATAAATCTATTTTAAAAATAGAGAAATTTCTTTAAAAATCTAATTTTCTTATTTAAAATAATCAATTCAGTAATCAAAAACTACATAGTGAAAGGATTGGTGCAGTACAGAAGGAGAGCCACGCCAAGTTTCTGATAGGCAGGAACTTTTTTGCGCCCCCAGGCAAGGTTCACTGACTCCCACTGGGGTGGGAGAATTTCCCCTGGTTGTGGGGGAGAGCTGTCCTTTTATAGGGTGAGGAAAGGTAGGCGGGTAAATGGGTATGCGGAACCAAAGTTGCTTTTTATTTGTTGGCGGTTTCTGTTTGATTGCTATCTGGTCCTGTTTGTGTTGGGTAGAGGCCTCTGTTTCCAGGAGCTGCGGCAAAGATGAAATTTCTCTCTGCAGTTTCAAGGCCCCTCCTTGTGCCTGCGGCCTGGGGCCCTCACCACGCCCCCTGCACCGACCTTGCATTCCGACCTCTTTGGTATAGGACAAAGGGCAAAGTATTCTTTCTGGCTACTTCCTGCTGACAAAGGGAACAGCGTGGGAGGGAGGTCAAGGAATGTGGTCAGCTGGTGGGCAGGCCCGAGTAGGGGTGTAGGAGAAGTTGGTTAAAGGTAGTGTGTATCATCTTGCATGTCAACAGGGACCGTTCAGACCCTGGACAGGTGATGCCAGGATGTGTCACCCAAGACCTTGACAGCCATTGGTGTAGTCAGGATGATCGTGTGTGGACCCGTCCTCCTTGGTTGAAGTGGTTTTGGAGAGATGGCTTTTAGAAGAACCTGGTCTCCAGGGTACAGCAATTTCCCAGAGTAGCTGTCTGAGTAAAGAAAAAAGTATGGAAGATACCCTGCCAGTGGTCTAAATTGGACTGGCAGTTCATGGTTAATAAGAAAAAGTTGTGCCTCCCTGGTGGCGCAAGGGGTTAAGCACTGCACTATGAAGCAATCCAGCTGCTGCAGCATGAGTTCAATCCCCGGCCGGCCAGGGAGAAACCCACACGGTGAGGCAGACCTCTCCTAACTCGCCTGCTGCTTCCCTCAGCAGTGTATTTCAGTCAGCCTATTCTGCTCCCCACTCTGTCTCTGGTGAGTCCTCTTACCGCCACCAGCCCCCACATCTCTGGCCTGTACCCCAGCTCTTGTATGCATAAATAAATAAATCTTTAAAAAAAAAAAAAAAGAAAGTGGACCAGTGAGTGCTGCCCAATGTGCAGTGTCTCGTGTACCTTTTGGATAATGTCAGAGGCTTTCTGCTCAAGGAGAACCAATGTGTTGTTAAGTGTGATCCAACCTTGTTCTCCTTCAGTGCCACCATTGGAAGGAAGATTTTTCTGTTCATTAGGCATGTAAAGGGATGAAATCGAAGGTAAAGAGAGAAATAATACAGGTGTAACAGAAGGCTGACCAGGGTTTGTCAGAGCCCTTTCCATTTTATCTGCTGTTGTTTCCTTGTGTCACATTCGAAGAGTCCGATTCGTGTGCCTTGCAGTGAACTATAGCCATCTCGGCTGGCAGCTGAAGGGCCTCTAGTAATTTGAGAACAAGTTTAACGTTAGTGATAGGAGGGTCCTTTGGTGGAAAGGAAGCCGCGTTCCTGCCAGATTGCTGCATGGCTATGAGCTATGAGAAAAGCAAGTTTAGAATCAGTGTATATGGTGACCCTTTTTCCTTGTGAGACTTTAAGTGTTCGGGTAAGAGCGATAAGCTTGGCTTTTTTTTTTTTAAAGATTTATTTATTTATGCATACAAGAGCTGGGGTACAGACCAGAGATGTGGAGGGTGAGACGATCCACCAGAGACAGAGTGGCGAACAGAAAAGGCAGAGGCTGCGGATTGCTTCATAGTGCGATGCTTAACCCCTTGTGCCACCAGGGAGGCCCAAGCTCGGTTTTATATGACGTGGTCCCTTCAGGGAGTGGGCCCGCTTCGATGACCTGGTGTTTGGTCACCACTGCGTAGGCAGCCCTGTGCTTTTCCTGCGGATCCATACAGGAGCTGCTGTCTACAAACAGGACATTATCTGCATTTGGAAGGGGAGTGTCAGTGAGTCCCGGGCTAGGTGACCACAGTTCTTCCAGTACCTTGGCGCACGTGTGGGAAGACAGGGGAGAGTTAGGTTTTGGCAACAGAGTGGCTGAATCTAGAATAGGGAATTGGGACAGAGTGACCAAAGGGTTTTCGATAAAGGGTGTGAAAGTCTAACACACGAGAGTGTCAAAAGGGAGAGAGCCCGGTGAGTGAGTAGGTCCTGGAGCTGATGTGGAGAACTAACATTTACAAGTTGGCCCAGCATGAGTTTTAGGGCTTGCCTAGCAAAGAGGGCAGCCGCTGCTAGTGCACGCAGGCAGGGCTGTCATCCTCTTACAGTGGGATCCATTTGTTTAGAGAGATAAGCAACTGGTCGCTGGACTCACCCAGTGGTTTGGACCAGAACCCATAGGGCAACTCCCTGTCACTCATCTGTGAATTACAGGAATGGCTTTTCAGAGTCTGGGAGAGCTAAGGCCAGAGCCTGGAGAAGAGCTGCCTGTAGGAGGAAGAAGGCCCTATGCACCTCAGCTGCCATCTGGAGGGAGCCCCCGGAGGTAGCCTCTGCGGCCTTCTACAGTGGTTTGGCCAAGAAGGCGAAATTAGGAACCCAGTGACGAAAGAATCCCACCAGACCCAGAAAGGACAGAATTTGTTCAGCATTTTCAGGGACCAGGAGGGAGTGTATGGCCTCCTTGCAGTCAACTGTGAGTTGTTTGGTAGAAGGAGTGACCCTAAGGCCCAGGTAGGTAACAGGAGAGGTGGAAAGCTGTGTTTTTGAAGGTGAGGCCTTGGTACCCAAGGTATCCCTTGGTACCCGAGAAGTTTAAGAGCTGTGCAGTGTGGGAAATTGACTGTTTCAGCAAAAGGCTACGTAGGAGGAGGCCATCTATGTACTGTAGGAGAGTGCTAGGTCTGAGATTACAGGCTGCAAGATCCATGGCGAGGGCTTGTCCAAAGAGGTGAGGGCCGTCTCTAAACCCTTGAGGTAGGATCATCCAGGTAAGTTGTTGAGATGTGTTTGTGTCGGGGTCCTCCCATGTGAAGGCAAAAAGATGGTAACATTTTGGGTCAAGGAGAAGAGTGAAGAAGGCGTCCTCTAGGTCTAGGACTGAGAAATGAGTCATGGAGGGAGGAATGTGAGAGAAGCGTGTATGGATTAGGAACAACAGGGTGTATGGGGACTACTGCATCATTGATAAGACGCAGATCCTGAGCCAGCTGGTGTGAGCCGTCAGGCTTTTTTGTAGGTAGGATAGGCGTGTTGCAGGGTGAATGAGTAGGAACCAGAAGTCCTTTGTCCAGGAGTCGCTGGATGATGGGTTTGAGACCCTACCATTGCGTTAGGGAGATAGGAAACTGAGGACGGGCCGAGAAAGAGGTGGGGTCTTTGAGAGAGATCTGGATAGGTTGGTGGTGAGTGGCCACAACCGGGGTAGAGGTATCCCAGACCACAGGGCCGACAGTGTAAGGAGACAGCAGGGAGTCCTGAGGAGGGTTAGGAGATGTTTGGAGCAGCGGGAGGATGAGAGCAGCACTAGGGCCTTGGAACCATGAGAGAGTAGCCCCAAGTTTGGTCAGGAGGTCGCGACCCAGGAGTGGAGTGGGGCAGGAAGGTATGACTAAGAAAGGGTGTACTAAGGGCTTGTTGTCTGTTTAGCAAGAATGGGGCCAGTAGCCCGAGGCGGAGAGGGTTGGCTGTCAACTCCCATAACTGAAATCTGAGAAGGGTGCGTCTGACCTGGATAAGAGGGGAGGACAGAGAAGGTGGCCCCCATGTTGACCAAAAAGGAGATGTACTTACCTGCTACCTTGACCGTTACCCTGGGCTCCACTAAGTTTATCGGGGTCAACGAGTCCGGGCCTCTTTAGTCCTCAGTCACCAAACCCAAGACCGCCAGTGGCAAGGACACAGAGGTTGGAGGGACCGGTCCACCACAGCTGGGCAGAGTAGGACAGTCACTTCTACAGTGGCCCTGGTTGCCACATATGGGACATGGTCCTGGTGGTGGGTGAGGGTTGGGGCAATGTTTGGACCATGACCTTCCTGGCCACATTTGAAGCAAGCTCCCAGTGGCAGTCGACTGTGGCCCATTGTCGTCCTGGGTTGGGGGTCAAGTGTTGTGGTTGTTGGAGGAGCAGGGCATGACGGCCTCAAGGCAGCCTCTAGGGCCTGAACTTGAAGCTCAGCCTTCTGGCAACTATGGGTCTCGCTGTCCATCCTGTCCTGTTCGCCCTGGTTATTGAATACCTTAAAGGCCACTTCAACAGATCCGGGATAGGGGTTTGAGGGCTGTCCTCAGTCTTTTTTTTTTG